AAAAAAAAAATCATCTCATCCTTCCCTTTAGCCCAGCAATTCTAGAGATGTACTCTAATAACTAGAGCGAGGCACAGAGATTTACATAAAGACCTCATACTGTCTATAATGGTAGAAAATTGGAAATATCTCCATGTCCATTTCTAGGGGACTGATCAGATCTTGGTACATCCAAGTACATGTGTACAAAACTCATCTAGAGGGAACCTTAATGACATGTTCTAGAGTGTTCTACAGAGTGGGCTATAAAATGCAGTGTATACTTTAATTCCCCTAATGCTTTCAAATGTATGTGGCTCTTCTTTATATGTGTAGTTCTCTTTTCTCCCTAGGCTTATTACCCACTGGTAGAGCTCTTAAGCATCTCTGTAGCAGTGACTTCTAATTTCCCGTCTTTCTTCCCCATACCATCCCCCATCTCTGAATTCCAGCCCCCTACCTCCATGTACCTACTCGGCGTCTCCCCTTATAGGGCTCACAGGCGTCTCCAAGTTGGTGTGGTCAGATAGAACTCTGAATCTTCATGCCCCCAAATATTCCTCTGCTGTTCATCTCAGTACGCCACACTTCCGCTTAGTCATGTCAGAAAGCTCACTTCCCCACCAGTCAGATACAAGGTCCTGTTGATTGAACCTCCAAGTAACATCTAGAATCTGCACCACTGCCTCCTTCCTCCACTGATCATCTTTTCACACCTGACCGGCAGGAGCCTCACAACTTGCCCACTTCTGGGCCCTGCTCAACCCAGATGCAGAGTCCTCTTTGAAAATGCAGATCTGATCTTTCAAGACCTGCAACCAAGTTGCAGATGTGATCTGGCCCCTGCCCAGCATACTCCAGTCTATGGCTCTTTTGGTTCTTGCATCTCGCCATACCCTTCCCTCCCCCGAGCCTTCACACACACTCTTCCCTTCAGCCCATCTAGATAATACCTCTCCTTCCTTGGAGTTCATCTAAAATGTTGCTTCCTGATCCCCAGCCTTGGTCAGACCCTGGTAAGTCACTCCAGCACCCTGCCTTCTTCCTGGGAGCCCTGAGCACCCTTGTAGTTCCTTGGGTCATGTAGGCAGTTTGCTGCGCCCCCCAGCAGACTATTGGCTCCTTGGGGGCAGAGACTGTGGCTGACTTGTTCACAGCTGCATCTACAGCACCTAGCCAATGCTAGATATTTATCAATAACTTTAGAGGAGAGACAAAAGGGGTTCTTTAAACTGTTGATAGTGGTTTCCTGGGTGTGAAATTATGGGTGATTTGTTCTTCGTACTTTTCTTTACTGTTTTGTCTTCAGTGATCGAGGCAAAAACTGGCATTTTGTCAAGAGACATCTGTGCTGGGGCCCAGAGTGGGGTCTTCCCTGCAGGATGCACCTGGCCTCACCAGTCCTCCTACCCCTGTACCCACAGGCCTGAGGAGCGATGCGACAGGCGTGATGGAGGTTGAGTCCTCCTACTCGGACTTCATTTCCTGTGAGAGGACGGGCCGTCGGAACGCGGTCCCGGACATCCAGGGGGGCTCTGAGGCTGTGAGCGTGAGGACGCTGGCTGGAGACATGGGCGAGCTGACACTCGAGGGCACAGGTCAGAACGCATGGGTCTTCATTCCTGCACACGAGTCCCTCTTCTGGGCTCCAGGGCCGCGCTCCAAGTCCTAGACTGCCCACTTTAAACCGGGCCCCCGTCTCGTGGTCAATGGCCAAGAAGCCAGTTTCTAGGATGGAGGGCGCTAGTGTGTCAGGCCGAGGACTCCTGGCCAGGCATCCCGGCCTCTTCCCTTTCCTCATCGCCCCCTCCATCCGGTCAGTCAGTCCTGTCCTCTTCCCAGACACATCCCAGGTCCCTCTACTTCCCTCTGTCCCTACCTGCCAGCCAGCGGCCAGCAGGACCCACTCAAAGTGTCCCGTCCCAGCACGTCTCGGCCTCAAGCCCCCTGTCGCACTCACAGTGAAGCAGTTGTCACAGCACCTTCCTGGGTGACCAGGCCCTGCCCTGCCTCTTGGATCTCAGCAGGGGCCCCTCTGCCCTCACCTGCTGTCCTCCAGCCACACCCACCATGGATCTGTTTCTGTCAAGGTACAGGCCTGCCCTGTCCAGAGCCTCCTGTCACGGTTTTTTCTGCTAGAACCTTCCCACCCAGTCCTATGGCTGAATTCCTACCAGGTGCTCAGAGGGGCCTGCCTGGACACTGAATAAGGTTACATGTGTTTGAATGTGAGCTCTAGGAGAGCGAGTGCTTGGAACCCACAGGCTGCATGAGTGAATGGATGGGGGAAATAGCCGCCGCCCACTCCCACAGTGCCTGGGGCGTCCGTCCTTCCCTTCCTGTCCGAGTGGACTCGCCTCTGCTCAGTCCACTGGTCAGCCCTGGGGCCTTGCTCTGCACAGCCTTCCCGTACCCTCCTGCAGTGGGCAGAGCCCTCTCCTCCCTGTCCCCATAGCTCCTTGGAGGCAGTGTTTGTGTCACATCCCCTCCCACGGCAGACTACAACTATAGGGCTCCATGGGTCTCCCACAGAGCTGTCCCAGAGGGCCATCTTATTTTCCCCCAGGTAGTCTCCAGTCTAGAGCACTTGGTGCTCGTTAGCCAGAAGTGACCACAGAGTACAGAGCAGACTGTGCGAACATGGACTCAACCCACTCCTGTTACAGATGGACCAACAGGCCCAAGAAGCTGGGTGACCTGCTCAGGGTCACCAGCAAGTTAACATAGAACAGCACACCCCACAGCCCTTCCCTGCTCCAGTGGTCTGTCAGCCCTCCCTGTCCTGTGGCCCACACTCCTCACAGCTAACCGCAGCCTGCTGCCTCTGACCCAGCCAGAGGAAAGCACATCTGTTTCTCAACAACCCGATGGACCTTAACACGCTGGTTCTTCCTACCCACCCCTCACCTGGCTCACCTCTCTCATTCTTAGAGACCCAGACTGCTCTCTGCTGAGAAACCTTCCCTGACCACCTGCCCCTCAAGCAGGAGGCGGCACCTCCACAACCCCACTTAGCCCAGCACCCCTCTAGGCTATGGGCTTCCTCCACCTGGGTCCTTGTCTTATGCACGTGATACGTGGCATTTGGCAGGTGGGAAAGGTTGCCTAGTCCAGGGCTGTTCACTGACCAGCATGCCTCACTCCCACAGAGGGCTTGCTCAGAGCTTCTGCATCCTTATCCTCGGCTCTGGGAAACTTCTGTCCCCCTCTACCTCAGCAGTAGTAGCCACTCATCGGTGGACCCAGGCCCTTCGAATACCTGTTTTCTCCAATTTGGAATCCCTGAAGTGTCTGGGTCCTCTGGGTCTAGGACATTGGCCTGCCGGGGTGACAGAATTTAAAAAGGGGACCTGAGGAAGGAACAGTGTTCATTGCAAGGAAGTGAAGCACTCATGCTAGAGTTGTAGGCCGGCCTGGTCAGGGAACCCTCCAGTGGGTCCTGCAATAAGCAGTTTCCACAGGCAGGCCTGGGGGCTGTGCTCAGTCTCCCAGACTCACTGAGGGAGTGGGCCTACAGAGATTCTGACCAGCAGGCCCGGCTGAGAATGTTTGCTTAAAACAGCCCAGGAGATGGATACCTAGCCGGACAGATGGGGAGGCAGGGCCTTGGCCTGTCCTGAAGGCCTGGCCATCCGTCCTTCCCAAGTCTGTGGCCTGCTGGTACTTGTTAAGGCTCCCTTAGCATATCCTACCTTTCCTGATACCTCCATATGTGGGGAGCGCAAACGTTTCCTTACTTTGCCTAATAATGAGAGTACACTGCCCAGCAGTATGTTCCCAGGAAGCATTTCAAGTTTTGCCCTAAAAACTGGCCCCAAGGGGGTCCCAAGGGTAGTGGTTGGTGAACAAAGTGCTTAAGAACCTTCTCCCCTGGAGCACCTGGGTGGCTCAGTCGGTCAAGTATTCAACTCTTGATTTCGGCTCAGGTCATGATCTCAGGGTCGTGAGATCGAATCTCACATCAGGCTCCACACTGGGCGTGGAGTCTGCTTAAGATTCTCTGTCCCTGGGGCGCCTGGGTGGCTCAGTCATTAAGTGTCTGCCTTCAGCTCAAGTCATGATCCCAGGGTCCTGGGATCAAGCCCTGCATTGGGCTCCCTGCTCGGCAGGAAGCCTGCTTCTTCTCCCTCTCCCCCTGCTTGTGTTCCTGCTCTCGCTCTGTCAAAATTTTTTTTTTTTTTTTTTTTTTTTAGATTCTCTGTCCCGCTCCCCTCCTCCTTTCCCGCTCACTCTCATGCTCACTCACTCTTAAAAAACAAAAACAAAGCAAAACCACCTTCTCCCCCAGCCAAGAGAGAGCTGGGACTGGCAGAGAGGAATTGTTACCATTGGCAAAGACCTTCCCATGGGCCAGATGACCACCTGTGGGCCCTATACTCCCGTCACATACAGGTGGAGGTGTGCAAAGGCTCAGAGAGATGAAATAAATTGCCTGAGGTCCCACAGCAAGAACAAGGCAGAGCAGAAATTACTAGGGAATCTGATGAGAATGTTCCTGCTTGCCAGGGCAAGAAGCTCAGGGTCAAATAGAACATCACAAGCTGGGAAATTTGCTCCAAGTGCAGACTAGTTTGTCAGGCTTCTGGAGGTCCAGAAGGACCCTCTGGGCCCAAGCTTCTGCTACAGGTACCACCCCAGTGATAGGAGGTAGTGGTGGGGGAGAGCGCCCGATGCCCAAGTTCCGACCACACCACCCCCTCCTCAGATTGCTACATGGGCAGAATGAGGCCCTGTCAAGGACAGCTGGCCTTTATAAACCCTGGAGCGTGCTTTGTGGCAGAAGTTAAATTCGGTGGAAAAGACATTGGCTCTGTCCACCGCCTATCTCTGAGCCTGCTGTTTTCATCCGGGTCATGACCCTAGTCACTCCAGGCTGTGTGGATTTCATGGAGCTCCGAACAGGGTGGGATCATCCTCCTTAGTGAAGGGCTCTAAAGATGCAAAGACCGAGCCCCTATCCAGGTGAGGCTAGTCTGTTAAGGACTCAGCAGAGTGAAACAGCTGTGGGCTCTGCCCCAGCCACACCCTGGTTCTCCTGAGTGCCTGTTCCATGCTGGGACTTCATGTTTGCCCTCTCCTTTTGGAGAACCTGCACAAACTTCCTGACCCTCAAACAGCCCTTCACCGGAGGCTTGTAGCCGTCCTCTTCTGTGATCCTGGCCTTTCATCGACCTTAATTATACTAGTAGCACTGCATGCATTTTCTTTGTAAATATTAACATGTTAGAGGCTGGGTTAAAGGTCCCTTTGGCCACTGCCACCCCTAATCCAGCTCGTGTCCTGCGCCCCAGGGCTCATCCACTATTCCCACTTTGGGCCCTGCCAGATAGCCTTCTGTGCTTTACGTTTGTGTATGTGCTCCTTTTCTCTTCTCTCCAGAAGGACAGACAGAGGTGGGCACCCCAGATAAGGAAGCTAGCAACCAGCCTGAGAGCAGCGATGGGACCACCTCGTCTTGAGTCTGACCTTGCCCATGGAGGATGGAAAAGAGACCTGCCATCCTCGCCTGGACAGGGAGCCCTGGCACTGGCCTCGCAGCCTCTTCTCTGAGCCCCCGTCCCAGACAAGCCAGGCCCGAGTGAAAAGGCACCCCCAGAGGCCACCGTGGCCCCTACCCTGTAAAAGCCCTCCACCTGCACCCTCAGGCTGCACTTGCCCACCACCTCTTCACTGTGCCCAGGTACACTTTCAAGACCCTGTAGCTGTGGGGCATTATTTATTCAGCGGGCACCTGAGTGAGCAGCCCCCGCAAGAATGCCCCTCCACAGGTGGCCTGGGCAGCAACCACAGCCCAGCTCTGCACCCCCCTTCTCCAAGCCCAACCTTCTGGGTCAAGATCTTCATATCCCTTTTTTTAAAAACACTTTTAAACTTTTTAAAAACTTTTTTTCAGCAGAGAGGGAGGGAGCTGTGTTTTTGTTTTTTGGTTTTTTGGGTCTTTTTTGGAAGGCATTATAAGTTAAATTGACCATCTGTGCAGCTCTGCGTCCCCTCATGGAGCTCCACAGATCCATTTCTAGGGAAGGGGTTTTATGCTCAAAACTGTCTGATCAACTCTTTGCCCTTTCTACCAAGATAAGTGACACCTAGGACCCAGGAAATAAATGCTGATGATTTGTGTGACTGGTTTACGATTATTTCTCCTTTAAACAGCAAAAGCAGGGGTGGGCCTGGTTTCCCCAAGTCCGCAGTTAGCTGGGACCCATCACTGCCCTGGGCTTCAGAGCAAGGAAGTACCTGAGAAGAGGCCTGTCTTCACAGAGGCTGGCACCCTCCTTGGTCCGGTGCCTGATGAGTCTTCCATCTGTCCCTCTTGCTCACCCCAGTCCACAGCTCAGCCAGATGGGCAGGCCCAGCCCTTAAAACCTATAGTGGGAGGGGGCTAAGAGTTAGGGAGCATTTAAGCAGATTCACTCTTCAAGAGAAGCCTTGTTTCTTCTGGAGGGAGAGCAGACTGTGGTCCCGTCTTTGCCCCCAGCGTTAGAAGCTCTAGCTTCCTCCTCACAGCCCCCACCCAGGATCTCAGGACCCTGCTGCTGAGCAGGCTGCCCAAGTCTGGGAGCCCAGAGGCTCCTTCCGTTCTCACTCTGCCCAAGACCATGGCGCTGCATAGTACCAGCCATTGGCTTCTTTATTGAGCACCAGATTTTCAGCAGGAGTCCCCATAGGAGGAAGGTTTCAGATTCAACCAGACTCTGGCCCGTAGTCAGAGGAGAGATGCGGCGTGCCGAGGTATTCATGTATGGAGAAACAGGCACACAGGCTTCAAGAGCAGCAGTAGCTGACTGTGCCGATTTTCCTCGAAGGAGTAAAGGTAAGTGTCATTCAACCCCACAGCGCTGGGGAGGCTCCATCCACAGGGTGAGGGCTTGGAGAGGTGGCCATGACGTCTTCAGGGATGCTGCCCTGCTGGCCAGGTCAGAGACACAGAATGATTAGCACCTGCTAGTATCTGGGATGTAAAAAATCTCAACATCAGAGCCAGCGGGGAACCCCTTTTCTGCAGAGGGGGAGACCAAGGCTTAGAGCAAGGGAATGCTTTGCCGAAGTCACACCAGAAGGAAGGAGCGGAACAGAGCTAGGACCTGGGCCCTGGGCCCAGCTCCCCTGCCCTTGGCTTTAGGCAACCATGGAGATGGCCCATGTTGCCAAGACCTTTGGGACTAGGCTTCAGAAAGTCTCCCCCGAGACCAGCCTGAGGATGGCATTATACAGAAGGTAAGCCAACCTAGTGAGAGGCGCCATCAGCTACAGCCATGTAGCCCGGGAGGCCTCATACATCCTTAGTGCTGTATGAAGAGCCCAGAAGCTCAGCCAGGAACACACCTGCAGCGGCCAAAGATGGCATCCCATAGGCGTTATAGAGCAGATCAAGAAGCTGCTTCTTCTCATCTTCCGGGAGGAAACTGGACTTTGCCGCATTGATATTCTAGAAGGGCCAGAATGGCAGACAACATGAAACCAGAGAGCATGGAAGGAAACCCTTGGCAATCTAGTGATGAGCCATCCTCTTCAATGAGCATGGGCAATGATTAAGCTCACAGTAGGGAAGGACGTGTCCCATGTCACATGGCAGCAAATGCCAGAGCAGAGACCATGAGGTTCAGTGTTCTTAAAATGCCACTCAGTGACACGGCGATGGCAGAAGGAAGCTGGAGAAATTGGAGACCGGGTGGGATACGTGGGGCTGGAGAGATACTCCTACAGGGACAGATTTGGGGTATCACAACCCCTAAAATCAAGGGCTTGGCCTGGGATCTACGAATGGCCTGAAAAGTGTGTGCAGAATTTTATAGCTCAGCACACCTTTCTGGGAAGAGAGTTGACAGCTTTTAACGGATTCTTTGCAGGCACTCGACCCAAGCCAAGGCTGAAAAACCTGGTCGTAGATCAGTGTGCCAGCTCGAGATCTTGTCCATAGAAGGCACCTAACTCCTCTAGGTCTGGCTTGGCCTGGTGAGGCAAACGCCTCATCTCCAGAGGTCCTGGGCCCTGGCCAAGACCTGCAGGCCTCACACACTCCCAAGGCCGAGAGTCAAGGCCACCAGGACTTACACCCACTCACCAGTCTCTTGAACTCCTCTTCGGTAAAGTCCATGCCCTGTTTGGTCATCTGGTAATCCGTTTCCAGGGTGGACTTGAAGATGAGTGGGTCATCCGTGTTGAGTGAGTAGTTAGCCTGGTCATGTTTGAACCTGCATCCAGGGGTGAGTGGGGAGGAGGGAAGAGCTTCCTGTACTCTTATGTGAATAGTCCCCTTCAACCTGGAAGAGCTGCTCACCGTACAGGGGAAGGAAATTCAGAGAACTCGGGTGACCTGCACGATGCCACGGAACTAGCCTCTGCAGACCCGCACCCATCCGAGCGGGCCAGAGCCAGGCAAAGGCAGAAGGGGACCAGGTAGAGTGGGGGCCTGGGGAGGCCAAACAAGCAGCACCCCCTCCAGCCACCACCCTCTCTAGCCTTCACCTTCCTAGCCAACATTCTGGGAGAGTCGTCTATACCCCTTTCACCTCGATCCCACTAGGATCGACTCTTCAACCACCAGCCCATGGAAAGGGCTCCTGGCACTGTCCCAGGTCACGGTCTCCTTACACCCAGGAGGGCCTTCCCTGGCTCTTTACTCAACGTGTGTACAATTTTACACTGTTGACTGTTCTTAAAACCCTTTCCCTTGATTTCTCAGACCAGTCTCTTCTGTCTGTCCTTCAGTGTCACTGTCCCGGGTTCTCTCCTAGGCCCTCTCGCTCCACCATCTCCTGAGGCTGTCCCTTCTCCAGCCACCAAATCTATTATATAGCTGATTCGTGAACCTTTCTCCAGCCCCAGGCTGTGTACCCATGTGCCTCCAAGAACCTCCACTCCGACGCTCTGCAGGTACCACACGCTCCACTGGCCCGAAGCAACCCTCAGGACCCCCTTGTAATGAGAACATCAGAGCCTAAGCTCCTGCCGTTGAGCTTGGCCTGACCGTGGTAGCCCCACATTCTTGCCGTCTTATCCTGTGTCAGGAAAAGGTGGCTTTGCCCTCCTGAGGCCTGACGCCGCTCCCAGGGCTCAGTCACAGGATCACCAGAAGAAGGGCCAAGGCCTCTAGTTAGATGGTGGGAGCAGGGTGGAGCACCCACAGGTGCCAGGAGAAGGGACCACGTGAGCTGGAGAGACTCATCTTCCGGATGTCCAGAGTCTAGAGTGTGGGAGCCCCCCTCCCCCCCAGGGCAGCAGGGCACTCTGCGATGTCTGCTTGGGTGAGAGGGCCCCCAGTTCTGCTATTTAGGACCCGGGCTACCTCAGTCATGTCACAGCACTGCTTCCCAAGGACTCGAAGAGATGTCCTAGCAAGAAGGCCCCGCCCGGGCCAGTGCCCAGTCCCTCCACTTCCCTCCCACCCTTGGCCTTCCTGGTACAAAGCTGAATGGGCCCCAGGGACCGGGCCTCACCGAACCACCGGGTGCTCCGTGTCCCACTTCCAGGCGCCTGTGAGGTAGCTGGACCAGGGGCAGACCTGGAAAAGCAGGTGGGTGGTTGGCACACGTGCACCCCCCTCCCCAGGCCACGCTGCCCCCTCCCTGTACGCCCCGGGCTGGAGCCACAGTGGCCTCCCAGCTGCCACGCTGGCCCGGCTCCTGGGGCCCTCCTGGCTTTCCACCTCTGCCCTCCCACCCCCTGGCCACTCACCTCGAAGTGCATGTTTTCCTGCCGCAGCCTGGCGTAAAGAGTCTCGTCCTCCAGCGTGTGGTAGCCATGTCCCAGCCTCTCTGTCTTGAGCGTGTCCACAGCCTGCGGAGAAGCGGAGTGGAGCCCAGTACAAGGTGGGGAGGAAGCGGGGAGAAGGGCCCCACGCCAGCCCAGCCTCCTCACCTCTCTCACCACCTCGGCGGAGCCCACCTCCCCTGCGTGGACAGTGCGGTGAATGCCACTCTTCACAGCCTCCTGGAAGGGCGAGAGTCGGTCATGGGCGGCCTGGGGGAGGGCCCAGCAGGCCCGGCCTTCACCACACTTGGGGTCCAAGTTTTGGCAGGCTTGAACCATGCCCTTCTTCAGTCAGCTGGCCTGCTTCAAGATGGGGAAGTCGGGGGTTTTGTTTGTGTAATCCTAATTTAAGTGGTAGCTACCATTTATTAGAGAGTTATTATGTGTCAGTCACCGTATGAAAGTGCTTGTATATGTTACCTAAGATCCACAAATATTCTAATACCTGTTTTAACAATCGGAGAAACAGGCCCAGGAAAGTAACAGGACGATGATCAAACAGGAAGAGGGGAGCCAAGCTCTGAATCAGGGCGATGAGACTCCAGAGCCCCAGCCCTAAAGCCCACGCTCCAGCCACGGGGAGTGAGTGCATCGTGAGGCTCTGTCATCCCCACAGAGGAAACCGAAGCCCCGAGAAGGGACAGTCTCACCCAAGGTCACACAGCAAGTTACAGGCAGAAACAGGCTCACACACACGAGTCCCCACACCAAGTGGGATCTTCTGTTTATCCCAAATTCCCAATTTCTAGCACCCCAAGACCCAACTAAGGCGCACTTGAGAACAGAGGCGGCCCCACCCTCTCCCGTCCCTGTGACCACTCCCTCTGGGGTGGAAGCGAGCTCCTGCGGCCCACCCGGCACCAGCCCCTCCCCACGTCCTTCGCTGGGGACCCACCTCGAAGGCCTTCACATGTCCCGGGAAGAGGCTGCTCCCTTTGATGTTCTCATCTCCAGCCAGGTCCACGGCCACCACAGTCTGGTGCTGGTACTTCTTACACAGCTCCACCACCTCCAGGGACCAGTCTGTGGGCAACATGCCCACCCGGCCTCTGTTGGCAGCACCGAGGAGAGAGGTCCCCCCTGCTCACTGTCCCCCGACCTGAGGCCAGCGCAAGGCGGAGGGCCCAGGTCTTGTCTTCACCTCCTTGCTGCCACGGCCTAAGCACAGGGCCTTCAGCAAACTGCTCCACCCAGGGCCTCAGTTTCCTCTCCCCTCAGAGAGGATGCCACCCGCCACCGCACAGGCCCGTGGCAAGGCCCTGCATGGAAAGCACCAAGGGCAGGGCCTGTGGCTGGGTCAACAACAAATGGCTGTGTTCTCATTTGATCCCCACGACAGCCCTCAAGGGGGGCATAACTCCACTTAGCAGATGAGATGGAGGCCCCCGAGGTTTCACACTGAAGCCCCGAATAGCACTCACACTAGTGGTCCTGAACTTATTGCTAACGTACTCTGCCCTCTTAACTAACCAAGTCATCATGAAGGGTTTAAAAATGAACAGTCGCAGGCTTTGGAACCAGAGGGCCGCGTGTTCACGCGGGCTCTACGCCTTCCTGAGGAGCACGAGGCCGCACCTCTCTCAGCCTCAGCTCCCCCACCCGGCAGAGGAGGCTCAGGGATGGCAGCCGGGCCTCAGAGGCTGCCACAAGGATCAGAGGAGACCCACACAAGCCACTGTCCACGGGCAGGCCCCTAGGTGGGCGGGAACCCTTTGGTTCGCACTGCCCCCTAGAGCAGAGACAGCAAAGTACCATCACCGCCTGTGACCATGTGTACCTGCGGTCTGAAGAGGTGAAGGGACTTGTCCAAAGTCACACAGTGGGGCTCTGCACACCTTGGAAGCTCGAGCTCTGGACATCTGATCAGTCACGAGGGAGACCCTTGGAAGCCCCAGAAATCAGACCTATTCCCAAGGCCTGTGGTGCAGACAGGAAGAGGCCTGGCCCACAGGGTCTCAAGGGAGGACTGTGGGCTCATCAGAACCTGGCTTAGATGGTTTTTTTTTTTTTCTATTCAGGTTCCTTTGGTTTTATGCTTCCTGCATGCAGGTCACATGGCTGTCAGGCCTGGTCTCCCTGGGGAGAAGGGTCTCTCTGCTGCCAGGAGTTCTGAGCCTGCCCAGGGTAGGCACCAGTGACTTCAGGAAGCCCCAAGGTCCTGCTGATGGGTTCCACCAATCCATGGGGTTGGGGGCATGGGGAGACTAGATGCGGCTCCAGTGCTGGGCTGGGAGGCAGGGGCCGGAGTCAGAGGGGCAGCGTGGGGCAGGGCTGAGGGCGTACTCACTGGGCTGGTGGCGCATGCAGCACAGGATGGACCGCACCTTCACCCCAAAGTCTTGCTCTCCCTTCTGCAGGCTCTGGCTCACCAGAGCTACCACCTCATCCGGGGTGAGGTCCCCTCTGTGTGGGGAGAGGAGGAGGGATGGGCCAGAGATAAAGGAAGGTCTAAAGGACAGCCCCGGGACTGGGACATGGGCGGGGGGGGGGGGGCGGCAGGGGGGGGAAGAAAAAGAAGAATCTTCAAGCAGCAGCTCCAGCCCCTACTACCCCACCGCCTCTGGGGAAAGACATGGCCCCAAGCCCTGGCACACCCCCCTTCCAGCTTGCTTGGGCGCTTCCAGACTGTAAGGTGTGTTGGGGTGGGGAGTTCAGACACAGCCCTCCCCCACGGATGGAGGGCGCTGCTAAGCCCACCTGGTCTGATTCCCCTGCATCCACAGCTATCAGAGTCCTAAGTGGAAGGGGGCAAGGGAGTTGGCTGATACCACTTAGAGATCTCTGGGGTCCAGGCAGAGGGGCAGGAATGGGCCACATTCACTTCAGTTACAGGGTTAGAACGGGACACCTAGAAGTCCCTAGACAAGGGGGTCAATGTTCCTAGACTGTGGGCCTGTGTCCAGGACGGGGGCTGGGGAGGAGGTGTGAGAAAGACATAGCCAGATACTTTTACCAAAGGTAAAAAAAAAAAATTTAAAAATAAGCCCAGGTGAGGGCTGGGAACCATGTCTCTTGTGACAGAGTTAAACCCATCTTTCTGAGGCCATGGACAGGACCAGGGAGCAAGATTAGGTCAGGGGCTCCCAACAGTCTACCCCTTGGGTCCCAGGTTCAGCCACCCCACCAGGCATCACTCACTCGGCCTGGTTCCAGGGGATCGGTTCCACTTTGGAGTTGGCCAGCAGGTGCGGGCTGTAACGCACCTCCACATACACCACACCCTCCTTGGCCTTCATCTCGACGAATTCATAGGCAATCCTTTTGATGGCCTCCCGGCAGCCCCTGGGAAGGGAAGAGAGGGGTTGGGGACAACCTTCCTGAAGTCTCTCCGGAGCTCCAGGAGCAACAAGGCTGTTCCCAACCCGTGGCAGATCAAACCCACTTTTGGCCCCCAGCCCCAAGTTCTGGGTATCTGTGGAGAAGATCCTAGAAGCACGGCAGGTCCTGTCAGCTCTACCTCCAAACTACATGCCAATTTTTGCCCCCTCCACCCAGGTTCTAACCACCTCCTAAACAGACCTCCGTGTCTACACGTTTTCCACCCAGTGGCTAGAGCAATCTTTTTAAGATTTTATTTATTTGACAGAGAGCAGGAGAGCACAAGCAGGGGGAGCAGCAGAGGGAGAGGGAGAAGCAGATTCCCCGCCGAGCAGGGAGCCCGACATGGGGCTCAATCCCAGGACCCTGGGATCACAATCCGAGCCAAAGGCAGATGCTTAACTGACTGAGCCACCTGGGCACCCCTAAAGCAATCTTTTTAAAATGTGAATGCTCTTCCACCCTGAACCCTCGTGGCTTCCTACCGCATAGAATGAAATCTCAATTCCACAGCCCAGCCCACAAGGCCTGTAGACTCTGGCCCGTCACTCTCCCCAGACCTTCCTTCTCACTCATTCCATGAGGCCACCAGAGCCTTCTTTCTGTCCAAGGAACAGTCAAGTTTGTTCCCAGGTCAGGGCCTTTGTGTTCGCAGCTCCCCCAGCCCACATGGCTCTTCCCCCTGGATCATCCTATGCTCCTTCTCTCCATTTAAATCCAGCTCCAGCCTGGCCTCCTCAGAGAGCACTTCCCTGACCACCTTGCCTTAAAAGGGCTTCTCTGTCATTCTCTACCTGTTCCCCTGGGCTTTACCACCGTGGCGCATACCCCCACTTGGCTTTATTATTGCATGGCTCATCAATTTTCATCTCTCCTACTAGAATGTAGTCTCCATGAGACAAGGGCCCTGACATCAGTCTTGTCATGGCTAGGAGGACCCTCAGCCCAGGATGGAGCCTGGGATGTGGCGGCCACTCAAATGTTTGTTGGGTGATGGGCATAGGTCAGCAGGGGAGAGAAAAAAAGAACGCAGGCAACAAACACAAAGATAAGTGGGGAAAAAAAACAAAGATAAGTGGGACTGCATCAGATACAAAAGCACATACAGCAAGGGGAATCTTCAAGAGAGTGAAAAGGCAACCTACAGAGTGGGAGAAAATATCTGCAAATCCTATCTGATGAGGGGCTAAGATCAAAGCATACGAGGAACTTCTACCCCTCCGTAGCAAAAACACCAAATAATTGGATTAAAAAATGGGCAAAGGACCCGAATAAACATTTCTCAAAAGACATACAAATGGCCAAAGTTTTATGGAATGGTGCATTTCCTTGGCGATTAGCATCCCTAATCATCAGGGAAATGCAAATCGGAACCACGAGGACAGATCACCTCACACCTGTCAAGGTGGCTACAATCACCAAGTGCTGGCGAGCACACCAAGAACAGGGCCCCTTGTGCGCTGTTGGTAGGAATGCAAATTGGTGCAGCCACCGTGAAGAACAGTATGAAGGCGCCTCAAGAAATGTTTTAAAAAGTTACCATATGATCCAGCAATCCCACTTCCGGATCTTTATCCAAAGGCAATGAAGTCAGTATCTCAGATATCTGCCCCACGATGTTCACTGCAGCATGTTATTTACAATAGCCAAGACATGGTGACAGCCTAAAGGTCCAATGACGGACGAATGGATTAAGAAAATGTCACACACACACACACACACATCATTCAGCCTTAAGGTAATTCTGCCATTTGCAACATGGATGACCCTGGAGGACGTTACGCTAGGTGAAATAAGCCAGATGCAGGAAAACAAATACTGCACAATCTCACTTGCATGTGGAATCTAAAATAGTCAAATTCATAAAAGCAGAAAGTAGAACAATAGTTGTCAGGGGCAGGTTGAGCGGGGAAGGGGGAAGTGGGAGATGTTGGTCAAACGGTACAGAGTTTCAGCTCTGTAAGAGCTCAGTTCTGGAGAACGAATGCTCAGTATGACGACCATAGTTAACAATACTGTAGCATATACTTGAGACTTGCTAGAAGGGTAGATCGTAAGTGTTCCCACCACACACACACACACACACACACACACACACACACAGAGCAAGAGGTAACTATCTGCAGTGATGGATATGTTAACTTGACTGTGGCGATCATTTCACAATATATATGCAGTTCAAAACACCTTAGGCACATACAATTTTTACTGATCAATTATACCCCAATAAAACTAAAAATTAGAGGAAAGAACACAGACAAATCCAGAGGGTATCCTGGGGTGGGGGAGAAACCCGGGACTCCTAAATCCTGGTTCCCACACTTAACTGTTGCAGGACTCTGGTTAGTCACCCTGACACCTACATCCAACGCTACTGTGAGGACAGAGATGTTAAACTTCATAAAACTCACCGAGGCCAGTGCTGAGGACAGACAGATCCGTGAAGTATTTTAGTTGTTGAGTGTTGGCTCTTTCAGAAGCAAGGCACACATTAACCTGCCAGGGCCACACTAAGTGGTAGTCAAGGGACAGTGAGCTGGGCCTAGCTGGAAGTTTCCACCACGAAGACTGAACACAGAATGGTCACCAGAATGCAGGATGTGCAAGCAAAGGGCCTTGGGGAAACTGGCCAAGCCCAGAAGGGTCACTGGACGTACCACACTTTTGAGGATAAGGATGGGCGGCTGTGGTCTTCCCTGGCCGGCAAGGGCAGGGCCTGGATCTGGGATCTCGGACCTGCTGCAGGGGAGCTGGCCTCCCAGGAAGAGGGTGCCCGATCTCCCCCACAGCGGTGGCACGCATTCATTCCACACTGTGACCAGCACTGGGATTATAGCAAACAAGGCAGACAAAATCCTTGTCCTCACAGAGGCTACAGTTTAGCAGGATAGACAAGTAAGTGAAACATACAATCTACAGTAGGTGAAATGACCTATGGATACATATAAAACAGGGGAGGGGAATACAGTTCTCCGTGGTACAGTCAGGGAAGGCCTCACTGAAAAAGCAACACTTGAGCACACCTGAGAAGGAGGCGAGGAAGCTAGCTACGGGGCATCTACGGGGAACAGCATTCCAGGCAGGGGGAACAGCATGCATGGAGGACCTGAGACTGGGAGTGTGTTTGTTGCCTCAGGTGCCACAGGAGGCCCGTGTGTTGGGAGAGAAATGAGCAGAAGGGTAAGGGCAGAGGACAAGGGCTCTCCCCTGACACCTGTGGATAGTGGCAAGGGCGTAGTATGGACATTAGCCTTATGGGCCATAGCCCCAAAGGCCAAGTCACTCAGAAGGAGACGATGCTGAACAGCCTGGTCATCTTGGGCCTTCAGGGAGCTGGGCATCTTGTCTTGTGGCCAGGGGGACAGGAGCTGCCTTGGGGGTGACAGGGGAGAGGGGCCTCGGCCTGTACAGGAGCTCCACCCGTGTGTTTATTCTGGTGTGGGGGTGTCGCGGGAGATAGGACAGGTGCCTCCAGGGAGGCGTGGTGTGTCAGTGCCTCTGCTTACCAGGGCCAGGGATGGCGACAGTCGGTGTTTTCCAGGCTGAGTCCAAAAGCTTCCAGCAAGCAGCCTTGGCACACATCTTCCTTCCCCAGAACTGGCCGCTTGTCCAGCCAAGGGCCTCCATGTGCCTCCCAGACCTTCTTCACTGGTCCTCCAACAACCCATACCTGGCACATGCCCCAAACCTTTCCTCCGCTCTAGCCCTCTGGACGACTTCACACCTCTATCCCCAAGCCTGTGCCTTGCTTCCTCCTCCAGGCAGCTTTCCCTAACTACCCCCTGCCCATTTGCCTCTTTCCCTTCCTGAGCTCTGGCAGCAGACTGCAGAGGCCTGCCTCTCACCTGCCCTGGGGAACCGTGCCTCGTGCCAGGAAGCTCAAGGTGGCCTCAGGGTGGAATCTGGGCTTCACCCCTGCCAGCTCTGTGGTCCTGGGCAAGCTCCTACACTCCCCTGAGCCTTCGTTTCGTCCTCTGCAAACGAGGAGTGCGTCTACCTAGCAGGACCGCCGGCAACTACAGAAAGTATAGTTCTGAGAGCTACACACACACTCTTCCAGATCTAAGATACTCTGCTACGAAAAGATGGAAGGAACGGAAAGGAATATAAAAACAGCTGTGCCTGGTGATCCAGAAAGGTAGCAACTGTCTTCACTGTAAGAGGCAGCTTGCTGAGGACGGTGCTGTGTCCATTCCAAACTCCAGCCCCAGGAGGTAGATAGGATCACAAGCCCCATTGTCTGGATGAGGGAACAGAGGCTCAGAGAGGGTAAATTTTCCCAAGGTCACAGTTATTTCATGAAAGAATCGGGCACTAGGATGTGGGCTCTTGACCTCACACTCTCACTGTCCTGTAGAAGTTGAAGAAATTTCTAGACATTATACCCACTTTCCAGACAGGAAAATCAAGGCCCAAGAGGTGTGGAGAGAGTCACACAAGTACACACAAGATGAGCCGCAGAAGGGCAGGTGGCGGGCACAGGTACGGGGCCGCCTGGGGCCTGGGAGGGAGGCTGACTCACGCGATGGCGGGCATGTAGTAGTCAAACTTGGCCAGGAAGCCGGAGAGGCCGAGCGGCTTGTCCATGCCGATGATGTCCTGCAGCTCCCCTGGGGTCTCAGCCGGGAGGGCAATCCCCCGCTTCCTGGGAACCAAACAGGGAGGCCGGTGGGCTACTTCCGCGCGGGCGCCAACGAGCTCCTCCCAGGCGGCAGGGCGGGAACCCCGGGGACCTCTTCCTCCAACTCCTCCCACTGAACAGACGGGAAAACAGAGGCCTGGGGCATAGAGAACCCGGGCTGGAATCCTTCCAGCACCCCCCACCCACCCCGTCCCCGAGGCCGTGACCCGCCAGGGGACCTCAAGGGGGATAAGTGGGGCTCGAGTCTGTACACACACGGACACGCGCACACACCCCCCAGCGCCGGGGAACAGGGAAGCTGCCGGGGCAAGCCCACAGTTTCCTCCTCAGCCCCAGAGCGGGTAGAGCCAGCTGGTCGTCCGCCAGGTCAGGGGTTATCAGCGCCCTAACGGCAGCACCACAATGGCCGGGCCGGAGGCAGGCGCCGGACTTCTGGCCTCCGCCCTCCATGTGGCCGGCGCAGCAGAGAGGACTGCGGGCCCCGCGCGGGCAGGCAGGCGGGGGCGCG